TCAGCATTAGTTGCCATGGGGACCAGGGGGGCCTGGTGTTGTTCGCAGACATCCTGGCGCCCAGTTTATTGGGTGAGGGGTCTGTGACGATTTGTTAATCTAATGAATAACTGATTTGTTAAATCAAATGAAAAATTGTGTTTTTGATTGGTCCAGACGCTACAATATATTATTCTTGAGTAAATTAAAAAGATGGACAGGGATTCAAACCAAATTAAACAACGTCAAACAATAGTTCAGTCACAAAAGATACTGAAATTCAAAGTTGAAATATATATTTTAGAATCAGAATCATATAACCTTCAAGTCAGGAATTCAGGTTTTAGACATGTAATATCAAATTCAGTTTCACAATTCAAATTTTGTATCCACATAAAAAAAAATAACAATTTCAAATTTCAAGCTCAATGTCCAAATTTCAATTTGTTCAGTTCCAGTTCAATATGAAAAATTCAAACTCAGTCCAGGGAAAAGTTTAAGGAAAAATAAAATACCACAGTTCAAGGTGAGTATGTTTTGTCCTACCAGTTCAGCCAAATTATTGTTCTTTTTACTTCCAGGTATGATCACTTAAATGGGTGGCTCGCCATGTCCAAACCACAGAAAGAGCATCCACGGCAGGGACAGATCAGGATTCCAGAGTAGAAATAATGAAACCATAAAACGGGAAAAAAATAAAAATAAAACCCCGTTCAAGGGGGAAAAAATAAGATGAAAGAGGAGAATAAAGAGTATGTCTTGATTTGGCCTTAATCCAGTTAGTTTTTGTCGTCTTTCTCACGCGTTTCTAGTTGTCCAGTCTGTTTACACATCTCTCTTTGTCAGCTTCTATTTCCTTAAAGTTTGAGCTTCTAAGGATATTTTTCGCTTCAATAATCTATTTTTTTAGATTATTTGCAGCATCTAATTCGACTCTTTATTGAATTGACAAATTCAATGTCTCGCATCGCTCTGCGTCTTGTTCTGTCACCCTCTGCTCTCTCGTTCTTTTGCACTCCTCTAGTTAACTCTTCTCGGAGGTGGAGCTAAACAATAGCTCCGACCTCACCCAATCAAAATTACTTTGGCCAATTTTTTTTTCCTTTTCTAAGTATAATTCAATATAAAACAACTTTAATCAACATTCTCTTCCTATTAATACTAAAGATATATAAACAAAAAAAACTTGATATATTTTAGTGGCCTACACTTTTAAAGGGGTCATATGATGAGATTTAAATTTTTCCTTTCTCTTTGGAGTGTTACAAGATCTTGGTGCATAAAGAAGATCTGTAAATTTGCAAAGATTAAAGTCTCAAATCCAAAGAGATATTCTTTATAAAAGTTAAGAGTCAACCATGCCTACCTAAAACGGCTCGTTCTAACACACCCCCAACATGTCTACGTCACGATGTGGGAAGATTTGCATATCACTGCCCAAATGTTCACGCAAAGAAAGAAGGTGTAACTTTTATTCTCGCTGTAGTATTGTTGTTGCCGCCGCCGCCATGTCGTGAAGGCGCTGTGTTTCATTGTGAAAGCGAAACTACTTTGGTTGGCCTTCCAAAAGAGGACGATATCCGCTTCGTCATGCCTAGAGCTGATCCGTGCTGGTCGCTTAGGGAATACATCAACTTTGCACTGTGGATCGCCAGATCGGCTTTCACCGTGGATGAAGCAGAGTTCAGCCCGGGGTCGTCACATGTGGTTGCCGCAAGCCCGCCGGACACTCCTTCGTCGAATCCGCCGACCACACCGTTCTCAAGCCCGCCCGCCTCTGCTCACTCAACTCGGCCTCTGCATACTCTAGGCTGCCGCTCACTCTAGGCCTCTGGCCTCCACTCACTCAAGGCCGCGGTGTGTGACGCTGTTTCGTTGTGAAAGCGAACTTACTTTGTTTGGCCTTCCAAAAGAGGACACGACTAGAAATCAGTGGTTCTATATAATAATATTAATGAAAAACTATCATTAAAAATGTTATGTTAATATTATTATTATTAGTATTATTTGTATATATTATTTATTAATATTGTCTTTTACCCCTCTATCTGCCTGGTCTTATAATATCTTGAAGTGTCTATTACGGTTTTACATCAAATCAACAACAACAACATCATCAACAACAACAACGTGTCAATTAGGTACTTTTATTTTTTTAATGACGTGAAATTGTAGCAAAAATTACAGTGATCTAACAACAGTTATTAGCAGAATACATTATTGAATGACAATTGACATTGAACATAAATAAATGCTTAAAGAAGTAAAACAAAATATAACATAAAATAGTGTATTGAAGACCAAGCTCCAGTGAAATATCTTCACAATCCTCTTGGGTATGTTTATGCATAAACCCTAGTAATAAAAAATAAAAACAAAATGGACCATAAATTCAATCTTTGTTACTTACTTAGTGAAGATGAGGAGAGTATCCTTAACTGAATAGAGCTGGTAACACTTACATGTTCTCTTAAACTAAAAAGAGAAAAGACAAAGGAAACCAATTAGCATTTGAAAGTTATCATTTATAGACATTTTAAGAAAGAAATTATTTACCTGTTGAGAGTGTGTTGACGGTCTGTGTTGTTGGATGGCTGAGCTCCAGAAAATCAGTGATGAGGCATCTTAGAGTGTAGCCTCGGTTAGGGTTTTACATTAAAACCACAACAATAACCACAACAGCAGCATGTTGTGTGAATTATGTTTTTATTGACATACAAAATTGTCAGTGCTCTTAACAACAGTTATTAGCTGAATACATTAATGAATGACAATTGACATTGAACATGATTAAATACATAAAGAAGTAAAACACAAAATAAGAACAAAAAATAGATGTGACCAAGACCAAGTTTCAGTGAAACAATCACAATCCAGTCGATATGATGTCTTTAAGTCCATCATTTTGGTGTGATTAAGTGGCGATTTTTGTCTGCAGATGATGAGGTTGTGTGATGTGATACATCTGAAATACACAAGAGTTTATTGTGTATGAGTTTAGAGTTACAGTGTGTCCATGTGTTTGTGTAAAAACAATTATGTTTATGAAGGCCAAAAGCAAAAATGGACAGTATGTGAGCCCTTCACAATTTTAAATTGGTCATATGATGCTGCTAAAAAGAACATTATTTTGTGTATTTGGTGTAATGAAATGTGTTTAAAGTTCAAAAAACATTATTTTCCACATACTGTACATTATTGTTTCTCCTCTATGCCCCGCCTTTTTGAAATGCGTTGATTTTTACAAAGCTCATCGGTCTGAAAAAGTGAGGTGTGCTGTGATTGGCCAGCTATCCAGTGCGTTGTGATTGGCTGAATACCTCAAGCTTGAGACGGAAATGTTACGCCCCTCACATACTGTTGATGCCCTGTCAGGCCGGAGCGACGAGACAACATTAAAACCCATTACAAACAAGGCATTTGTTGCATCCAGTGGGGACATAATTACTGATTATAATGACTTATACTGTCTTTTTACGCGTTGCGTTGCATTGCATCGCGCCGCGTAAACATAAAACTCTGTCTGCATTTGTGATCAGAGAAAAGACAAACAACAAGTGCTACTCTACTGCCCAAAACTCGCGTTTGAATCATCAGTGGCAAATCCTTTAAATGAAAACGTACTTACGTGAGTCAGAACTGCCGGCAATTTAGTCTAACGTTACTCTCCCAGGATCAGTAAACAGTCCTCCATAAAATGTTCTGCACACATCTGGATATTTGGGTTAAACTGTTCTGGAACAGTGTGGTAAATACAACTTAACCGCTGATTTGTAGTCGTGTCCCCTTTTGGAAGACCAAATAAAGTAGTTTCGCTTTCACAACGAACAACACGAGAAAGGAAAATTTGAAATCGCATCATATGACCCCTTTAAAAGAAAAAAGTGATATAAATTCATGGGATAGTTCTAATATTTTTTGTTACTGGGTATGCTTATACATAAACCCAAGTAATAATTAAAAAATCTAACAATATAAGTTATAAATGCATTGTCTCTTTTACTTACTTTGTGGAGGAGAGAAGTTTCCACAGCTTAGCAGAGCTGCACACACTTATATGTGAACAAAAACTAAAAAAGAGATAAGAACATGTTTGTTTGGAAACCAGTTACAATTTTAAAGTTAAATTTGTATGTAAATTTAAGAATGAAATCATTTACCTGTTGCGAGTGTGTTGACAGTCTGTGTAGTTGGATCACTGAACTCCAGAAAATCAGTAATCAGGAGCTTTGAGTTACAGATTTGAAAAACAAAAGGGCGGGAACAAAGAACCATAAACTCTAACACAAAGAACTATTTCAGCATAAAAGGGTTCTTCAGAATACTATGGTTCTAAATAATACCATTACTGCATGTAAAGAACCATCTTTTTTAGAGTGTAGTCAGTGACCTGGGTTACACATGTATTAAAAATCATGCAGAATAAGACCAGGAACATGGTAAATGGAACGCAAATGGGGTCAGTATTAAATTCATGTTTATTTAAAGTAAAATAAGAGGGGGGAAAACATCAAGAAATTATCGTGCTTCTGCAGACATATTTGCATAAGAATGATCCAAATATGTAGGTATGTAAGTTTGTGTTGTGCATGTGCTAAATTGGGCTCACAAAAGGGGGGAAGGCAAACTTTGTCTATTCATACTCTGTCAAAATCATACCAGCTAGTTTGAGCGAAATCTAGGAAAACATCAAGAAATTATCGTGCTTCTGCAGACATATTTGCATAAGAATGATCCAAATATGTAGGTATGTAAGTTTGTGTTGTGCATGTGCTAAATTGGGCTCACAAAAGGGGGGAAGGCAAACTTTGCTGTGTTCATTCCACAGTCTATTCATACTCTGTCAAAATCATACCAGCTAGTTTGAGCGAAATCTAAATGTGGCTATTGCGTTCAGGCCGCCTGCAGCACATTTCTTGCACTCCCACACAGCAGTGTAGCATTAGATGTGGCAGTCAGGCAATACTGAGTGTGTGCTGACGGTCGGGGGCGTCAGTGCCATTAAATCGCATGTCTGGTACCTGGAGGCAAGCAGGCGCCCGGCCATGTGGTTTATTCACGTCCACCGCCACGAGCTGCCATCCACCAGACGCGTCCTCGTGAAACATCTGCCACCAGGAGGAGAGACGGAAAGAGAGGAAAAGAAAGGAGAAAGAGAGGGCAAATTGTTAACAACTGTGAATTATTGGCATTTTGGTCAGTTACTACACACACACACACAAATGCATATTTGATAAGAAATAAGTTGGGGGGAAAAAAACTTGTTAGCATCAAGGGCAATTGACAATCTTAAAAACAACTGCCAATTACATGATATTCAATGTAATTCTCCACCAACTTCATAACCATTTTATAAACACAGGCAAGGTCACAAGAAATTGGCTTCATGATCCAGCGAGCATCTATTCACATTTCAGAATCTAAATGCACCATGACTTCACCGTGACAGATACGAGGAGACAGCGGCGGAGACAGCAGGGACTAGAGGAGGGAGGAATGTTACAGCAGGCACCTTGAATCTGGCAAACAACAGAGGCTACCCATATCCATATGTACACAGCCCAGAACTGTCAGACAGCTCTGTACTTGACGCCTTGTTATTGTCCACCATGTGAAAATCTAAATAAAACTGATTGTTTAGAAAACTAATAGCCCACCTCTCCTCAACAAACCACATTATTTGATGCATTATTCATGGCCACAGCACAAAAGGAGTGGGATGAGTTACATGACATGCACGTCTATGTTCCACATGTTGCCATGCATTTTCCTAACATACATCAAGCTTCAGACTGCATTTTGTGCCCCCCTCCCATTGTTCATATCCCCACTCCTCCGCACAGAAGTTAAAAGTGTGCTTATGGCTGTTCCTAATGTGCACTGCTGCTGTTCCACTTATGTCTGTCTTTTATCAGTTCAGAAGAATAGATAACCAATTAAACCCATGAGAAATGACAGTCATTAAGCTCACAATGCCCTTTCAGCTCTGACAGATTAAAAAGGTTACCTACATAAATAGATATTTTAAGTTTCTCCTCATAGTCTTGTAATTATAACTTTGCCATTCATGTGATAATCTTCTTAAGGGGCCTTATTGAATTATATAATTTTTTATAAGACAGTCACAAAAGGGATGGTGCAAATCTTGCCAAAGAGTATCATCAGGCCCCAGGAGAACCTTATTTTCTTTTTACTTCTTTCAGATTAAAGGCATCATTCCAAGTCGTATTGTCTAACACTCAATAAACAAGGTTGTGTGTACCCTTCAATAAGATATTTAAATGTAATTCAAATTAAGACACAGAAAGGCTATTTTGTTTTCAAGGTCACAGCACTGTCTATAGTTCTATGGGCAAATTCGAAGAGCCTTATTGGGGTTTTCACACTTGAATTTGTCAACTCAGAGTAATTTTTAATCCTGGGTAGTCAGGGTTCGACATTTCACACTTTAGATTTATAAACCCTGGGTTATTACTCTTATTTGCAAATTCATGGGGTCAATAACATTGCAGCTTGCTTTAATAAACTTTAATAAAAGTTCTAAATTATACAAACATATAACTTCTTTAAACAGTCAACAGTTAACATTTTTTAAAACTTGACATTTAAAATGACTGTTAACCCAGAGATACAGTAAGCGTAAAAAATGTCAGTACCAATTAAATATTTTTGTAAAAATCTGTTTTTATATATATACAAACAGGTAGACAAAGACAGTGCAAATTAACTTTCACACATTCCTTAGCTATTTCTCCCTGTGAAGTGTCAGCACCTTAGTATATAGCCTTACCTAGACCAAGAGCAAAAAAATACATTATACTGTTTTCGCTGCAGACATTACAGATAAGGAATCGATTCAAAGTTTCATAAATGGCAATGGACTTGGAAAACTGTATGCTACTGAAGACAATTCAACTTTGTGTCGTCAGAATGAAATTTGCCTTATTGCTTTTGCAAAACTTTACTGTAGATTTCCAATTGAACTGTTTTCCATTTTAAGAATTTGTGGCCATATAGCCATTATCATTGCTTATTCATTTTTTTTTTACTATATATATAACATTCTTCTAGCTTCCTCCAAACCCAGACTCGCCCGCCAGACTGTCAAACAAAGAAGCGTGGTTCGTCACTCCAGAGAACGTGTTTCCACTGCTCCAGAGTCCAGTGGTGGCGTGCTTTACATCACTCCATCTGACAATTGGCATTGCATTTGATGATGTGAGGCTTACATGCAGCTTCTTCCATAAAGCTCCAGCCACACAGTTTGTGCTGATTTTAATGGCAGTGGAAGTTTGGTGCTATGGAATCAGCAGAGTGTAGTGACTTTTATGCACCCTGCACCTCAGCACTCGGTGACGGTGTGTTGCTGCTGTTGCTAAACGCGTCCACTTTTCACCTGTGGTAATAGGCCTGACTGAAACAACTAAATTCAATAATTGAGAGGTGTGTCCCAATACTTTTGTAAGATTTTTTTTTAAGTATTTAAAACTTACTCAACAAGGACTGACAAAAACATTATCAAAGGTGAGAGTAAGACTTTTATTTTTTTACAATATATATTATATACTGTATTATGATATACAATATATATTAGTGCTGGGCAATGATAAAATGCACAACATTCAATAATGCATTCAAAAGTAGAGTATTTTGCACTTTTTTCATTTAAAAGTAATGCTATATGAACAAAAGTGCTATAACATTTGGTTTGCAAACACTTTAAAGAAATAAGGTGCTTTTTTACAGCAGTATTCCTTTTTCATAGTAGCAGTTAAAATATTTATTGTAAATCTCAACTTAAAACATTAATGGAATCAAATTAATGCGGGTGTGGGTGGGTAGAGACTCGTGTGTGCGGAATGCGGGAGAATAAGTGTGTACTTACACTAGGCAATCTTAACCGTACCTGAGCGCATTTGACCCCCCCCCAAAGCCCGGTTCGTTTGACTAGTGTGATCTCTCCGTGCCACACTTGGGCGCGGTTCATTTAGCCGGCCCTGGCTCGTTTGGAAGAGGTGGGCCAGAGTGCGGTTCAGTTGGGCTCGGGCGCGGTACGCATGCAGTGTGAGCGCTAACCGCGCCAGAGCGTGGAACATCTGATACGTGCAGCATGATTTCTGAGTGGCAAGAGTGATAGATCTGTAAAGCAATATATTGTGAGAGGGCCATGTGTTACCACGTCCCAAACGACTCAAAATAATAAAGTTAACAAAACGATGCACTCAACTGTGCTGAGCGAGAGTGCTTCTCTGCTGTCTTCCCGTGCTTCCCAAATGCTCTCATTGGTTGAGACGCGTAATGACACCCATCACAAGCCAGTACTGATCAACATCCCTCCCCTCCTGTGACCCATGGTTTGTCTGTATGTGTATTCAGAGACAGTGAGCAACGGACTTTAATAATAATAAAAAAAACTGCATTAATGCGCGATAAAATATTTGTCTGCGTTAATCAACTAATGCGTTAACGCGATAATAACGCGTTAACTTGCCCAGCCCTAATATATAGAAATAATTGTCATTTTAAAATATATTAAAATAGAAAACAAACACAAAAATATGCAAACATGGTTCACAATATTATTGTTTTACTGTATTTTTGATCAAATAAATAAATGTAGCCTTGGTAAGCATCTTTCACAAAACATCAAAAAATCTTTGAATTTAAATATACAAACTTTTGAATGGTATATAAAACTGTTTTTTTTAAATAATATAATAGAAATAAAATAAAAACATAAAATACACATAATTATGAAATTATAGATTTCATTATATAATATTTATATATCCTAGGATTATTTACTGCATATTAATTAAAAAACTTCAAACTGGTTGATTGTCATTACTTTATTCTAGTAACAAAAATAAGATTCATTTTGGATTACAGTAATGACAAATTCAGAGATCCTTTCGTTTTCTTCATGATTTGTTTTTGTTGGTTTTATTTTAAGATCACATGCATCAGATATTTCTTCCGGAGATTTAACCCATTAAAGCAGGGCTGGAATAAATGTTGTGTGCTATAGCCGTTCTTTTTCCCAGAGGGCACTTCTACAGCCATAAGACTTGAATAAGGGTGGTCAGGTCACTCCTGTGCTGCCAAAAGTGTTGCCAGCTCCACTCATGGCAACCTCCAAGGCTCTGCTCCAGGACTGGCTCTGGCACTGTGACTGGCGCAGTCAGGGAGACACTATGCCTCAGTTCACACAATTACACACACAACTTTTCACACCATGCCCCCGCTCCAGATTTTCTGTGCATTTGCACCATTAGCTTAGTTAGTGTGAATTTCTCACCAAACATTAGGTAGGCAATGGTTGTATAAAATCAACAGGACAGGTTTCCCCACAGGAGAGGATTGCAGGCAGGAAAGCAAGTGCATTTAGGGTTAATTGATTCTTTCTATCCTTTCAGTTGATCAGTCACATCAAATTTAGGCTGAATGACAGAACTGCAAACACACACACATACACACTCTGTCTTTTCCTCTCTTTCGGTCTGTTGCACTTTCAGCAACGTTCCTCTATGACTCACCCCTGAGTCTGCCAGCCGCCCAATCAGATTTCTCTGTGCCGTTCGGGGCCCCCACCTGACAAGCAGCCAGATTTATTAAAAAAAACAGCTTGCTGCCGGGTGTATCCTGCCTGCTGAAGGCCAGGGAAGCCAGACTCAAAGCCTCCAGAGAATTATGGGAAGAATTCCTTCAGATGTCTGCGTTGGTCTGTGCTTAATAATCATAAATGCTGATATTGAAGGTTTTGATATTTTTGCTTTAGTTGGTTTAATTACATCAGCCCATACATATTGATCAAAGAGATGAACAAAAATGGGAAATGAGTCATACACCAAAGGCTGATTTTTGTGCACATGTGCACAAAGTGTGTTTGGTTTACCTGTGTAGTAGCTGTTGACGTGGTGCTGCTCCGGGATCCCCACATCTGCTGGAACTGCACTCTGATCTCAGCAAACGTTTCTATAATCACAGCGATGAACACATTCTAGGAACACAAGCAAAAGAAGTTACAATAAGTTAATAAATGCCCAGAAATGATGATTTTATTGAAATGCTTGTTCTTGTTGTCTGGCATATAAGTGAAAAGTGTGAAAACAGATCTGTGTTAATGATCAAATTGATATAATATATCATATGTAACACTGTCATCTTCAACATTTAATGAGGTTTAATTCTGTTTGTTACAAACTGATTTCCTTTCAGCAGAGCTTAACTTGCATTGAACCCTGAACATTCCTTAACTATGTAAACTAAATGGGGTCGTCATCATTTTTTTTTCCACTGAGGTCCACACTACCTTTCAAAAGTCAGTTTTTTAAAAGTAATTAATACTTATTAATTAATTAATTAATTAATTAATTAATGCCTACTGAGCAAGGATGATTATGGATGATTATATTGATAAAAAGTCATAGCAAAGACATTTAAAACAAATAAAATGTACAAACTTTCTATACATCAAAGAATCCTGAAAAAAGAAACATATCACAAAAAAGCATCACAACTGTTCCAAATATTTATAATAAGAAGAAATGTTATTATAATGCATATTATAATGATTTCTGAAGGATCAAGTGACTCTGAAGAATAATGACTTCTGAAAATTCAGCTTTGCCATCACAGAAATAAATATTTTAAAATATATTAAAATAATACAAAAACAGTTATTTTAAAATGTAATACTATTTCTGTTTTATTGTATTTTTGATCAAATAAATGCATCTTTGGTGAGCCAATGTTACGTATTTCAAAAACCTTTATTAAGCTTACTGACCCCAAACTTCTCACTGGTCATGTATGCACACAATAACTGCACTGCATTAAAAATATTTAACACCCAAAGTATAATATAACACAATATATTAGACTCCTAGAATAACCCTCACTTTTCTATGTCTAGAAATGAAGAAGGACCCATGTGCAGATTATGACTACATTTTCACTGGTGTGAGAAGAAAAGGATTTTTCCACCTTGACCAGCCAGGCGAGGAAGAAGATGAGCGTGATGAAGTAGAAATACGAGCGCCAGCGTGGGAAGCTGTCGATGGCTCGATACATGATGAAGACCCATCCCTCCTGAGATGCGGCCTCATATACAGTGAATATACTGGTGCCTGCAAGAGGAGACGACAAGAAGGGTCACGATGAGGACGCGATAAGACAGAGGAGGGGGAGAAGCCCATGTCTGAGATGTTCTTGTGCCCACAGAGTGGTCTGACTGGGCACTGAGACACAAAAATTCAGACATAAACACAGTCTTGGCATTAGTGGACCTTGTCAGGTGCTTCCTATTACCCAGCTATGTGCTTCTCTCTCCAAACAGATGAATGAGATGGTTATCCTCACTTTTGAAGTACTCATTGACTCCATGTTGTGCTGGTGTATAAAAGTATCTGTGTATCAAAGGAACTAGGCTAAATGAAGAACTACACAATCAAGGAGAGATTGCTTTCATGGCTATGTTGTATTATGTCTTTTTAATCATACACGTGTGATTTCTTCATAAAAGATTAGAGGAACGAGGACAAATCCTCAAGGAACTTAAATGAATAGTCTGTTGTTATTTACAGTATTAATTCTGTTATTTAGCCATCCTCACACTGTTCCAAGCCCAGTGTTACACAAAAGAGATGTTTAGCTCTGTATTTCATTATCTTTTCCATACAGTAAAAAATGAATAGGGATGACCATCATTATGGCACTATCACATAATAAAGTTACTAAAACCAAAATTTAAATATACATTATATAAATATACTGTGCAACTAAAATGTAATAAAAAATATGAATAGATACTAGTATAGAACACTGTTTCTTACACAGCATTTACACCATTATTTCATACACACAGTGTTTGAGATGCTCTCTAGTTCCAAGCCCTCAATGATGTTATCTCTGCACTCACGGTGACCCATGATGCCGTGCCAAAGGCCAGCAGGAAGCATGCCACTCAGTTCTGCTTCCTGCCATTTCCCACCAGGTCCAGGGGCACAATGGGCCAAGGACACTGGCAGAGCCCTGTAAAGGTTAGCTTCACCAACCATACAACATATCCTTTACAAGGACCTATATTAATGAAGTACTGTAAACTATTCACTTGGCTTTGTCTAAAAAACTGTGTTCAATCGATATGTAATTCACATTAGATAAAGCACATACTTCAGTATAAACAGTAACAGAGTCCTTCCCTAAAAGAATTAGAGGGAAATGCACTTGGCAAACTAAGGACTCCCATTAAAAATCACTTAGGGATAAATCACTGTGTCCAGAGATGCCTAGCAAAAGGGAAAAAGAAACTCTATTCCCATTTCATCCTGAATGGCCTAAGAGAGAATACAAAAAAAACTAGAAATACTAGAAAAAAAATAGCTCAGCAATCCTTGAACATTGATATTCCAAAAGATTTGACTATATTCCTACAACTCAGTTAATACTGTTTTAAATTAATTTAATTTAATAAAACCAAGAAAAATTTGAGATTTAATGTAAATAAAATAGATGCATTTAAATAATTAACTCGTTTAAATTAAAAAACAAACATGGGACTTAATTTTGTGGTGGGGTCAGTGAAAATATTGGCAGTCCAATTGGATTAGCAGAAAAATTAAATATATTAACCCTGACATTGGAATTTTTCCCAATCATACTTTATGTTTCTGCATCCATGAATCTTGGAAGCCCCAAAAAAGGCATTGTTGTTGAGGCTGCAAACCGCACTGTGAACACGGATGAATGGACGACACTGAACACTGTTGGGCTGAAGATCACTGATGCAGGAGCGGTTCTGGTTGACTTACACATGACTTATCTGTGAACTGAACTCTATAAAGAGGATGAAGAAGGGCCCTTTCACAGATCTCTATGTTCTGTAAGTCAACGGTTCAAAGCCACAACAGTTTTTTTATGGAAAAGCCTCCCTTCATGGCTATTTGGAGATTAGTAGCACTGTTCTGTGTACCTTTCTAGTGGATTTATCTCAAATGGGAGAGATAAAAATGTGACATGCTGCTTCGTACAGATCAAGGTGCTTAAATAAACTGGTCTATTTGTGAAGCTGCCTTCACAATGCTTTGAAATATAAGCTTTGCTGAAAATATTACATTTCCTAAATGCAGCGACAGAGGGCATTTATCTGTTTATGTTTGCTTGCACACTATGCATAGATCAACTGAAAATGCTTCATACAACAATGCTACAATTAATCACACTTAGTCAAAAAAGGACATAATTGCTCTTAATCACTGTAAATAATGGGCAGAGATAGTATAATTTTCCACAGACCACTAAAACTAAACCATGCTAATTAAAATTTCCTAATAAATAGGCCAGGGAAAATGCTTTTAGTGTATGCCAGGGGTGTCCAATCTGGCTTTAAGGAAGAAATTCAATGATATTTATATTCATAATATTAGATTTTTAGCAACAGCAGAAGAAATTTCCAGGTGCAAACTAGTGAGAGATAAAGAAAAACAAATAATAAAAATTCACAGAAAATAAACAAAATTACAAACATCATTTTATCATTGCAGATGGACACATGTCACTAACCAATGACAATGACAATGACTTCAATGGCATCACAATGACTCACCAAGCTCATTGAAGCCACTGTATCCGAGTTCCTGTCTGCTGAGTCCCAAGTCTTCCAGATCCACACACTTAAACCCCGTCGGACACCGATAACCCTCCCCGTTCGGAGAGCAGTGTGTATCAGGGATCGCCAGGCTGTTCCATGTCACATTACTGGAAAAAGACCAGAGTGTGTTTTCAAAGAATCATCATCAAATGTTAAATCTGATCAAATTAACCATTATATTATAACAGGCCATCTGGTGTTTTCTCACAGACTAGCAATGTTATCCTGCTCCTCTCTGGCAACATTTACACAGTCAGCATTTAGGACTTACAACCGTATTTACTAACATGTGTGATTCTAATTGCCCTGTACAGGTCACAGGAGGTTATATAAATAAATTATTAAATACATATTTAAAAAGTAATACATATAATACTACAGGTGCATCTCAATAAATTAGAATGTCGTGGAAAAGTTCATTTATTTCAGTAATTCAACTCAAATTGTGAAACTCGTGTGTTTTCTGAAGTCCACAGTCAATGCAGCCATCTACCAGGAAATTTTAGAGCACTTCATGCTTCCTTCTGCTGACAAGCTTCATGGAGATGCTGATTTCATTTTCCAGCAGGACTTGGCACCTGCCCACACTGCCAAAAGCACCAAAAGCTGGTTCAGTGACCATGGTGTTACTGTGCTAGATTGGCCTGCAAACTCACCTGACCTGAACCCCATAGAGAATCTATGGGGTATTGTCAAGAGGAAGATGAGAGACACCAGACCCAACAATGCAGATGACCTGAAGGCCGCTATCAAAGCAACCTCAATACTTGGCCCAACCAAGTATTGAGTACATGTACAGTAAATGAACATACTTTCCAGAAGGCCAACAATTCACTAAAAATGTTTTTTTATTGGTCTTATGAAGTATTCTAATTTGTTGAGATAGTGAATTGGTGGGTTTTTGTTAAATGTGAGCCAAAATCATCACAATTAAAAGAACCAAAGACTTAAACTACTTCAGTCTGTGTGCATTGAATTTATTTAATACACGAGTTTCACAATTTGAGTTGCATTACTGAAATAAATGAACTTTTCCACGACATTCTAATTTATTGAGATGCACCTGTATATATTATAAATAATATCAATTACTTGAATGAATACTTTTATCAATACACCCAGAACATTAAACAATATCAAATCTCCCCCTTTTCTTGTCTTGCTCTAAACCACATAAAATAATGAAATTTTTACTCTTCACATTAAGTCCCATGCAAAATGCAAAGCATGCTGGGAATCCAGTTTATTAACAGCAAAAAGTATTTTGAGTTCACATTTGCTCTACATAATTTAATGCAGTAGATTGCACATTTTAGACAATTAAAAGAAATGAAGTTTAGAACAGAAACACAATTTTGTTTAAATCAGTTTTTCTGTTCTTGTTCACACACACACACACACACACACACACACACACACTATATTTGTGTCTTTATTTGAATAAAACAAGATTTTGTTAAAACATTTACTTGTGAAGACTTATATTCAGAGAGAATATATAAAATTAAATTATCTTTATTGGTAGTTTTGTTTCTTGTTTTAAACATAAAACTCATTAAATACTATTTGCCAAAGGGTACAAAAATAATATATATTGTCTGAAAACAAGTCTTAATGTCTTATGCAATTTAAGCTCTCAAATTATCTTTAATAAATGTTAATGTTTTAAGGGTGTTCAGATATTTGACTGGAAAACAAGAGAAAAATTAATTTTTTTACTAAATTCAATCCTGTTCTTGAGATTAATGTTTGTTACTATAGTGACAGATAACATTTGAAGCTACAAGGATATATACAGTACACTATGAACAGTATATACACAGAACAGTATTTAGCATTCTAAATAGAAATGACAACAGTATTTTTCTGATGACATTAATGGAACCTTACATGGTATTTCTGGTAAGATGGTAATATACCTATTCTACTAACACACACAGACGGCTTTAGTTTGGGCCACAGGTGTTACTTCAGGAGGCACTTGATGTCACTAATGAAAATGAATGCGTTCAAATTGGCTCGCCAGACATACTTTCAAAATGTTTATTAAGGACTCCGAAATGAGTTGGGATCATTGATTGCAGTATCACAAAGGCCAATCAGAGACACAACGGCGAATCAAAATAGCTCTGATTATACAATGATAAATAATCCGCCGAAGAGATCATCCCTGTGAAGAAACTGATAGCAAACACAACTCAAAAGATACTAATAGCACCATAAATTATTCATTTCATTTGAAAATGGACATGCCTTTTGATTAATATTTTTTATGATTTAAAAAAAAGTGTTTTAGTAAATAATGCGTCTTAAATGGCATAGAGACAGAAAAAGAGATTGTATCACATTGATCACCTGTCATAACATGCTGTAGCCTATGTCTGTAATTGAGAGAAATTTGTGGGACATTTTCTGAACAAGGTGACAGTTTATGATTGGCAAGGTCATGAGGTCTGTTCTCATCCATATTTAAGCACCTGAAAAATAAAACGTCATGTCATCAAATCTAAAAATGTATCCCCAACAGACACGAGTCTGGTAAACTCCCTTGCACATTTATTCCATTGAATCCCTGTGTGATTCAAATCCCTGCTACTCTGTGCCAAGGACACATACTGTAGTTCTGCAAGATAATCAACAATGAGTTTTTCTGAAATACACTTCCACTTGAGAAATGCATGAAAATCCTGCCCGTACACACATATTCAATATTGTAAATATTTTTAACCTGTGCCTAACCCGTTTTGAATAATAATATGTTGAATGCCAGTACAGGGTAAGATATCTTGCAGTATAGGAGCTCTTTTCTCTCATGCACATAGACGGATTGAGGCCAGGCTGCTGAAAAGAGGCGAGCATGTGCACGACGCCCAGGCAACACAGGAAACGTTAATTATTGTGATTAGTGCTCAGCACACTCTTCTGTTGCTTATGGTTTAGGCTCTTTGTTTTAGAGCCGGCTCTGACATGCCACTCATTTGCAAAGGAATATTAAATAGGCCTGGGTTTTAAAAGAGAACCACCTCCACAGCTCCATACACGCACTGCATTAAGACTGCGCTCAACCCTGCTTTCGTCACGCCCTTAAGTTGGGATGCGTGCGAGTGTTCCAGCAAGATTTACTGTTCATTTTTAGACATGAATTTCTGTTGGCTTATCAAGCACCTCCATGTGAAATGAGAAATTCAGACAAACGTATCATATAATGTGGCTGTTCTTACTGTTTAGTGTTTATGAGGCCATGACATCACACGATGAAAATGATGATCTGTTATTAATACCATTTACAGCTGTTGATGGGATTTATATTCCAAAGAACAGATGTGTGTGGGAGGTGTACAGCAACAGACGCATACTTCTTATCTCGCGCTGATGCCAGGAAAAATTGCAGCATAATGTTAAAACCCCTGATTCATCCCAGGGATAATAAACCAAAAGGAGTGTGATAAAACTCCCCACACAAAGAGCAGTTCTTGACTTCTTGGGCTATTAAGTTAAATCTAAGACAGTTGATTTTATTTAATTTAATATGGAAGCTTGTTTCTGCCACGGGATAAAAAATAGCAAAAAGTAATTATAAAATGATTTTTTTATCTCACAATTCAGGCTATTTTTCTTAGAATTATGAGTTTATATCTCAGATATTGCGAGATATAAGTGCAGACAAAAGTCAGAATTCTTAGATAAAAAAAAGTTGTAAATACCTTTTTCATTTTTATTTCATGGTGGAAAAAAAAACGAACTGTGAGGTGTAAACTCATGAGAAAAAAAGTCTGAATTATGAGATATCAAGTCACAATCACCTTTTTAAATTTTTAAATTTTTTAAAAATACTTTTTATATTATATTATATAATTTTTAATTATTAAATATTAAATTTTTTTTACCTTTTTAATATCCTGTTGTAAAAATGGGTTCCATAGTTTAAAGAAAATAGTGCTGAAACTTGCTTACCCTTTCTGTGTTTCATTGGTGACGCAGTGATGATTGAAGGTTCCAAACATCTGAACCCCCAGGATTCCATACAGGAGCAGGAAGAAGAGCAAAAATATGGACACACTCCAAATCTGCTCCCCCGACCGCCTGAGAGGAAGTGAATTTTAAGTGGCTGATATGGAAACAAGCTGCCATTTCTCACATTCTTTGGGCTCGTGGGGCTCTTACTTGAGAATGTTGGTTATGCGGGAACGCGGCAGTTCAAATCGGAAGTAGATTCGGAAGGCTCGGATCATAATGAGGGCCCTTGGTATGCGTAACATTCCCCAGGGTGACATTTGGTCCACAATCTCTGCTATTTCAAACACCTTGAGACCATTCAGAGGAACAAGTGGATGAGTGGAGTTCCCTATGGAGCTCAGTTCTTTTTAATTTGAAAGAAACAATTTACTTGGGAAATAACACTGAAGATAATTTCCTTACCTGAAGCACAAGAGAGACCCAGAGGAAGACCACCATAAAGCCATCAAACACGCACCAGCGGTCTTTAACATAGGAGTTCTCTCCCTGGAAACAGAGGCAGGTGATAAGACACAGGCTGTAAATGAAAGTCCACAGGTGAGTGGCAGCTGGTCCGCCGGTTTAATTAAAGATTGTGGCAGCTATAAACAACAGAGCCAGAGAAATTCAGCAAACAGAAGTGTGAGTACTTCAGAGTATTTATCCTGCCAGACATGGACTAACAAGTGTGCACTAGAAGACCTAAACATGGTTTAGGTATGTAATGAGAACTATCAAACTATGTCTCTAATGGTAAAGCACACAAATAATACAGTAAATAATAATGACAAACCAAAAACAGGAGCTAGAAGTCCTTTATATTCATGTAGTGGATGCATAACATACCCATATTCTCATTACTGCTACTGGTCTCTTAAGCATTTCTTTTAAGCTTTCAAAAATGTATTTTAAATAGTCCTGTTATGATTTTAAATGTCTGGTTAAAGAAATAAAATCAGTAAAGACATTTATAATGTGACTAATTAATTTCAAATTTATAATGTGACTAATTCATTACTATTTCAAATAGTTCACTTCTTTTGAACATTCTATTCATCAAAGAATCCAGGAAAAAATGTATCATAGTTTCCAAAAAAAATCTTAAGCAGCACAACTGTTTTCAATCAGCATATTAGATTGATTTCTGAAGGATCACGTGACAAAAATATATTAAAATAGGAAAAAAATGCAATATTGCTGTTTTACTGTATTTCTGATCAAATAAAGGCAGCCTTGGGTGAGCATTAAAAAGCTTAAAACATTCAAATATCTTACCGACCCCAAACCGCTTAATGGTAGTACATATATTTATACTTTTTAAAGTATATATTCCATATATCCTCTAAATATACATTTAAGGTCATTAAAAAAAATTTTTTAATTAATTGCTGCATGTCACAACACAGGGTTTATCATGTCAACTACCTATTCACACGCACAGCTGGTCCACAGGAAATGACATCAGAGGTGTGACATTTGTTTGTTTGCTTGAGTGTAGATTGCCTTCATGCACCGGTGGCTTTTCTTAGACAGAGAGACAGATACTTCATTGGCTGAAGCACTTGTTCTCCCAAGACATCTGCCCAGAAATCCCCTGGGATTTCAGAGCCTCTAATTAGCTATCGTGCTCAGATCTCACATTAAATTAGTAGACCAGAAAACCATGATTTATTAAATGGATAGCTTAAAAACTAAGTGAAGGTCTGACTGACTTTATTAACAGCAACTGGCAGAGATTGAATTTGGAATATTGTTTGTGCTGATGAATGCGTTACTTAGATTAAAATAGATGGCCTAATTCGCAACTGATAATGAATTATTTATATGAATTCAGTGCTTAGACCACTGCATTACCAACTAATCATGTCTCCGAGTCCAGAATATACCTAATGTCAAAAATATACCTGCTAACAGTGATAAAGAAAACAACATGTCACTGAATTTCACAGATCATAACATGCACTCAAAAGATGGAAATACAAAACAAATATACTGGCCTAATTAACTGAGTTAAAGGGGTCCTATTATGCTCTTTTACAAAGTCTTGATTTTGTTTTGGGGGTGTACTCTCTTGCTTGGTGGTTCGAAAAACGCATTATTTTTCACATAATTTACATTTTTAAAATACCTTTCTCCCCAGCCTAGCACAAACGGCTCGATTAGTTCCAGCTTTGATGAAGGTCTGCCTTCCGAAAAACAAAATGTGTTGTGATTGGTTAGCTGTCCCAGTCCGTTGTGATTGGCGAACAGCTGAGACAGTGTTTCAGTAATGCCACGCCCCTTGCTCCATCTTTCAACAAAAACTTTTGGGCGAATCCGGCACTGTACTCCCTCATGTTGTGGAAGCTGTCCTCAGTAAAATGTGCAGCACACAATAACAAATTGGGGTTATAATGCTCAGGAACAGAGTTAAAAATTAAATTGCAACCACTGTTTCCTGACATCATCCGCTTTCGGAAGCCCAAACAAAAAAACAGCGTTTCAGGCAGTCGCACGCCGGATGAGAAACGGAGCGTCGCGTGGCGCCATGTCTTTAAAATTCAAATATTTTATTTTCTATGAGTGTAGGCACACCGGTGGCGCCGTTCGGCATCTGTCCGCGGCGCCCAGCTACGTCGTGTTATACTTGTAAGAATTGTTCTAGACATGCCGAAAATGTGACGCTACAGCACAGCATCTCTTCTTCTTGGTTTTCTCTGATGCACTAACTCTGCAGCAGCACTTCTTCGTTTTCTCGTCTGATGCACTCACTCAACCAAGCGTTCTAACCACAACCTCGCCCCCTCCCCACCCCCCAACCATTCGAATTTCTGTAGGCGGGAATTATTTGTAATGATATTCCAATGAGCCGCTTTGTGATATCACAAAGCACCAGAAAACAAACGCTGTAGTCCAAACGAGCTGTTCGTTGTAGTTCTTGAAAGGGATTTTTTTTTAAACTAAATATCTCCCTTTGGAGTGGACTTTGAAATTTGTAACTTTCTAGATCTTTTTTATGCCCAAACATACACACTACACACTGACTAAAATTAAAAAAGTGAAAAAGCATAATAGGACCCCTTTAAGGGTCACAAGTATAATAATGCTGCGAGCAACTCTCCTTCAATAAAATTAAAATGCATGTGTTAACGTCGCATATAATTGCTGCAAGGTTAATCACCCTGTCCTCACACGATCTCAGGTTTAAAGGAACAAATTAATTACTATATCTTCTACATAAACCTTACTGCTTTCCATGCTAGAAGAAAGATAAAGAAATTTCCAGGTATCTCTTTGCAGGTTCAGGAAGCAAATGTCGCTCTGTGCAGTTGTTATCCTTGATTCGCCAATTAAACTGTCCATACGTTATTTAGTCACCTGCCTACTTTATTCACTTCCAAAGGACACAGTCTTTTTTCCTCTTCCTTTTTCTGTTGTAAATTGTGACAATGCTGATTGAGTGTGTTACCTTGATGATGCCCCTGATATGCATTTTGGCGATCATCTCTGCAGTGTAGAGGAACATCAGCAGCGTATCAAAGGCAAACGTGACATACTGCAGGGGTGGGTGGTGCTCAAAGGTCTTAGGTGTATTCATACACACCGAAATGACACTGATTATGGCACAGGCCCGCAGGAGAGAATGAACCCACTGAGGACAAAGAACACAATCTGTTTTAGAGAATGGAACATCCTCATAGTTTCAGTTTTACACCTTTTCCTAATTGAGCGAGTACACTACACTCTCAGAAATAAAGATACAAAAGCTGTCACTGGGGTGGTACCCTTGCAAAATGTACACTTTTGTATCTTATTTACCCCCTAAAGGGTGAATATTCATAACTAAAATGTGTACATATTTGTACCTTTATGGTACATTTCACTACATTTTGAAACGGTACCACCCTAGTGACCGGTTGCATACCTTTTTTTAAGAGTGTAGTGTCTGTTGTGATTTGTGTGCTATAAGTTTTCTTATGCCAAACAAATATTCAGTGAAATTTTTATCTCTGCTATACAGTAGAATATTTTCAATAAACAGAATATTTTCAATGAATAAATGTGACCCTGGAGCACAAAACCAGTCATAAGCAGCATGGGTATATTTGTAGCAATAGCCAACAATACATTGTATGGGTCAAAATTATCGATTTTTTTTAATGCCAAAAAATCATTAGGATATTAAGTTAAGATCATGTTCCATAAAGATATTTTGTAAATTTCCACCTGTAAATATATCAAAACTTAATTTTTGATTAGTAATATGCATTGCTTCATTTGGACAATTTTTCTCCAAAATTTTTTTTTTTTGCAACATCAGCTTCCAGATTTTCAAATAGATTTGAAAAAATTGACCCTTATGACTGGTTTTGTGGTCCAGGGTCACAAACGTCAATCTCAGGGTTTCTGCAGACATGCACAAGTTAAATTTAAGACTTTTTAAGACCTTTTTAATACCACCTTATATAAAATGTAAGACCTAAACCTGTAATGGAAATACACATTTTATTACATACATATATGTAATATTTAATGTGTAAAAATTTAAAAGAAAACGAAATATCATTGCTGTAATAAATGATATTTATTTCTACGGTATACAGTGAAATTTTCATGTCAGCAGACAATATTCCATACAAAATATCCCCGCAAAATAACTGCATCAATTAGATTTTTGGTGGAGTAAACAATTTATTCTGAAGCAATATTTTCATCAGTGTTTTACATACTTAAATCTGCATATTTACCTTTACAAAGGCCTATTTTTAAACTTTTTTAGATGTATGCATCATCTTTCATGTCAAATTATTACAATTTATCAATACATTCAATGTACACTATAGAGCTGCTACATATCAGATGAAATAATTTACACTGCAAATAACAATAATTACAACTACAATAAATAATGTTATGAGATTGTTTTAAATGCATTTATGAGTATACAAATAAGAAATGTTGAGGGGGAAAATGCATACTTTTCAACATACTTCTCAACAAAGACACTTAATGAGTGAGTCATTGAGTCATTCATTCAACTGATTGAGTGTTTTATCATGCTGCTATCTTAAGGACTTTCGTGGACAGCTGACTCCTAAAGTAGCCATTTTTCTATAAGTGTGCATCATCTTTTGAGTCAAATTACATTTAATCAGTGAATTAGAATAATAAGACATTTGGGCTGTTACCAAGCAAATGAAATCAGTATCAACAAAATTCATCTTTGCAATCCAGACATAAGCTGCACTTGAAGAGGCATTTAGATTTATTTACACACAGTTTAATGCAGGACATGAATGCATTTAACCTGATGATACAAATGCATAAATAATCTTTTGATATATTAAACATAAAACATTGAATACTGATATTTGAAATAATTAAAAAAATGAAAAGATACTTTAAAAGTGAAATTAAAATGGCCAGTAGGTGGCAGCAAGTCACTGTTAAGTGAGTCATTGCAATTTAACTGAATCATTTAAACAGTTGATTCATTCAGGAACAAAACGCTGGCATGTTGCTCAGAGACGCAAAACAGCGCTGTGGCTTTGTTTGGAATTATTTTTGTTGGCGAAATAGTGCAAAAACAGGCAATATGGTGTCTAAAACGTAAGTCTCTTTATAAAACTTCTAGTTTATTGAACTGTTGTAAAAAAACAATATCACAATTGTATATGGTAATTTTTGGAGAAAAAAGGCACTCTTCCGTGTGAACTTGATTAACTATATGAAGTGGTATAAATATACACATTTTCTGCCCCCATGTCTTGAATTTGTGATCATTCTGAATGTATTTTAATAGACTGAATCATGCAGTGATCAGGCAGAGCACACTCTAAATGCGCACGCGCACTAGACTTCACGTAATGCATGCACTCTGTAGGTGTTTTGAATGTTTTTTTTGCGTCATGAGAATATTGAGCAAAATAGTCATGTCATGGTGTTAACTATATCATGTTATGAATAAACTAAACATTTCTTCTGAATTTATGTGTGCTGTCACGCTCATTTGTTCTGAAGTCTCGAGACAAACAGAGTAAGCCTCAGTGCGACCTTGTATTCTGTATTCTGCTAACTTACTGCAATTCTCTCTGATGACGCAGTAACTTACCGTGGGGAAGAAAAAATCTTCGGTCTGTCCAATGATTGTAAACAGTCATTAGGTCCGTCAGACTGAAGATATTTTAGCGGTAATGAGACCAAAAATATTTAAGACCCATTGAATCCGAATTTAAGACATTTTAAAGGGGTCATATGATGCAATTTAAAGCTTTCCTTTCTCTTTGGAGTGTTACAAGCTGATTGTGCATAGATAAGATCCCTGAAGTTGCAAAGACTAAAGTCTCAAAAGAGATATTCTTTATCAAAGTTAAGACTCTGCCACACCCCCCTAAAACGGCTCGTTCTAACACGCCCCCCCATATCTACCTCACTATGTGGAAATATTTGCATAATGCCACCCAAATGTGCAGCAAAGAAAGAAGGCGTGGTTTCAGTAACCGCAGTTAGTGTTGAAGCAGAAAAATAATGTGTTTTTTGAACATTAAAGCATGTCAACATATTCTGTTACACCAAATACACAAAATAATGATCTTTAAATAGCATCATATGACTTGGAAAATAGTGCACAAGATGAGCTACATTTATAATAGTTTTTTGTCCTTTTTGTATCTTGAAAGTTTCTGGTCAGTGTATACTTTTGTTAAATGAAAAAGAGAGAACATTATTCAAAACGCCATTTGTGTTTAATGAAAAAATAAATACAGTTTTGGAATGACAATAGTGTAAGTGAAATAATTTAACTGAACTACTCATTTATGAGTTATGAGGATTTTAGACCAATGAGATTTTAATGTGGGTGGGGCTAAACCAAGACGAGAATAGGATTTTGGACCAATGAGATTTTAATGTGGGTGGGGCTAAACCAAGATGCCGTGAAAATGTCTTGAATGCTGGATACTGGGTGCTATTTTTAACTTCAATGTGCTTCTTGTATCAGCTGCTTTCAGTTATTTTAGCTATACAAAAACAGCCAGTTATACTGGTTGATAATGCAAACTGTTATTTGTTATCATATTATTTTAATGTAATAGTGTAATCATAAACACACTGGTTTATAGTGCAAATAGTATTACTGTTTCCTGCACTTTCTAATTCTTCTAGTTATTTACCTATAGCAAATAATGAATCAGAAGTCTCACACAAAGGAAACAGCTTACTGAAAATAAGGTGGATATATGACTGGTTTGGACAAAATAATAATAATAATAATAATAATAATAATAACATGGAATAAATGTGTCCTATTTTATTTAAATTGCACCTGGTTCGGACAAGGTTTTAGCTTGTTAATTATGTATTATGTATTTTGGGAGTATGTGTGGGTCACAAATTATTGTGAAGAAGAGCCACATGGTAAGGTTTCAGAGAATTGTTCACATACTGGTTTGTTGATCCAAAGTATGTCTGCACTGTCTGTCAGTGTTTCATCTGGCCCAAAGTCGGTCATAGGCTGGGCCTCAACCCGCGAGCTCTGCTTCCTCTTCAGCATGCTTGGGCTCGCTGTGCTATAGAGAGAGTGGATCTGGAAGACAAAAGCACATCGACCACAAATGCTAACTTAAACCACACATCAGCCAAAGCTTAAAATCAGTTTGTAGCCATTGGATTTATTCTTTATTAGATGCTACCTCTACATGTGCTCTAAGCATTAGAAAATAAAAAGAGATTTAGTTTGGGAAAAAAGCAAAATAGCTTATAACAGGCTAAATGCTAATTACTATAATTTTGTGGCATTAAAAAACACCTCAGAGGAAGTGTCATATCAAAAGTCCTAAGCACAGAAATATCTAGTAACTACAGCATGCAAGCAGATTTGAGCTATGTGTTCATTGTGGCTGTACAGTACAGCATGAGGACACAGCTCTGAATGGTACCAGACAGTATGTATTGTAGTGTTGCACAGCCACCATTAAACACAATCAAGCATATGATGTACATAAAACATAGACTGTTGACTTGACATAGAAATAACGACTTACCTTCTGCAAAGATCACACTGGATCTTCAGCGCAACACAAACGACAGGCGACCGATAATGAGACTGCATAATATTGGCACTAGAGCCATTCTTACCGAGGACAATAATAAAACATGGATATCACACACTCACTGAAACAAAGCGCACATACCAACGGGAAAAGTAAAGCTGAAATTGCTCCAGCACTGCACATAACATGCGATCAGGCATACCCTGTAAATAACACAAAACAGTTAGTCAACATGGCATATGGTGTACCAAACGGGTACAATTAAATCGACAAATAATGTCCACCACATCAGACAAGGCATATGCGCAACACTGAGTGGCGGAGTCATGGACGGATGGGATTGTGGGACCAGGTTACTCACGGTCAGGCTCCTCATTGGTGCATTCATCCCCGGCATAGTGAGGAACTGAATTCAATACGAAAGACGGCTGATCGGTGGAGTCGAGGTCTATCCTGCAAGAATATCATTAGCCATTTATTCTTATTTATAAAGGAGTCCCGTCAATGAATGCTGCATCACACAACAGCTGAAAGCTTGACCTTTACATGTGATATCAACACAAAAGGAACAAATCCACTCCAGCGAACTGTCACTTCCAGTAAGGTCAGACGGGCCTTCGTGCGTCAAACATCATATAACATGACAAAGAGCTTTTCTGGATTTGGTAAAAATTTCAAAGAACATGAATTATACTACATCAAGGTCATTCGAAGGGCAGTTCGGAACAATGGCAAGATTCAAAATTAAAGTGTGTGCTGTCTGCCAGTAAAAACATTTGTTACAATTTGAAGCCTACAATGGAACGTTGAATCTTAAAAGTTTTTACATTTATGTCAAGAACATAGTGGTCTCCTCAGAACAGCTTCTATGTAGTCACAGACAATTTGCAAAGTATTTGCTACAGTTAGCATACAGTATGTTGATAGGGGTTTGAAGACAACTGAAAACAAAATTACAGGGTGTAAGTGCAGTAATGTAGGAGTAAGTTGCAGAAGACTACAATTAGTTTCACTTTTACAGAAAGGACTATTTGCCTAAAGGCAGGATGCAATCACTACACACTTTAATAGTGGCTGGTGTCGTGAGTTTTTAGGCTAGTTTGTTACATAAGCAGTTTGTGTTTTAGATTAGATTGTATAGGCTATGAGAAGGATAATTATTGCCCCCAAAGGCATTTTTGTTTCTAAAATTTGCTACAGAATATAAAGCAGTATACAGTATACTGTAGCACAACTGATTAGATTGGATATCCAATCCCAACTTCATATTTTCATTTGATCTAAGAACTACAGAAAATAGACATATAGAATGAATAATATATACACATTCTCTGTGTATGTGTAAATTCTTACTACTAAAGTTGTGCCAAACACAAAAATGCATCAAATTTATATCCATTTTATTAATGTGTACAGCACTAATAACCAGAACAATACTACTTTTCATTCATGATGGATTTTGAACAAAAGGCTAGGCTGTAAACCCACAACCAGTGTCAGAAATTAACCAGAGCTGAGGGCAAAGGTAATTAAACAAATAAAAATAAATGTCTTGGAAATTTGTGCTGTAGTGAATTTATCTGTTGTGTTTTAACATTTGATATACTTTTCATATTATTTTTTGTAGACCTAGTCATACCAACCATCCATCCAGAGTGTCTGTCCTTTCATGGAGAAAAAGAAAAGTCCTAAAATAAGGGTGTAATTATGAAATTAAACATTCCGAACAACTCTAAAAACCTGCTACAATTATATCATAAAAATATAATATACCCTGAGCTGTTGTGACAGCTCAGGGTATAATCAAACAGAGACTGTAAAATTATAATATATTATTTTAGCAAAGCATGTGTTCCGTTAAGATATGTTATTGCTTACAGCTACTTTTGTGTTTAAAAAAAGGAGGAAAATCAATCTCAGTGGGCAAATACTGTTTATGACACTGGTTGCTACTACATAATTCCTGGTGGGGACTCCCTAAAATTAAATCAATAAAGTATTTATCTTTCCCTATCTGTCTCTCTTCATGTTAAGCCTCTCAGTTCTGTGTTTTTACCAACAACCACCTAGACATTTTCAGATCCGCAAAATCAGTATCATTAATCTTAGGGTGATCCAAATAACACTGTACAATTATGCAATTTAACACCCTGCTTTTGTTTGACATACACAGCTATTCAACACAAGACCTCCATTTTTACAGACCACTGCCAAAAGCCACTTGTCTTCAAAAATGTATCACATGTAAAAGCAAAACAAACTGACTCGAAATCATGTCAGCATACTTAAGGCTACATGGCAGACCGGAACACAGTGACATCAGCCATGATACAAGAGCATCATGCAGGGAGATTCCTCCTGCTGCTACACGGTTACCATGGCAACAGATGAGAGCAGAGCTGCTGCCGCTATAGCTCTTGCTAAATAACCTCTTACGAGAAAACACACGAATTACATAAAATACAAAGGCATGTCGATTATGTCATTGTGTGCATTACTGTCTAAATTTGTCACAAGCGTATCCGAGAAGGTTTTCACTCAATGACAGCGCTGTATTTTTCAACAAAGGCCTTTTGACTGCGCAGTCGGTTGCATACACTTCCTGGTAGACGTGCAAACAAGACGAATAAAACAAAATAAACCACTTATCTGACACTCTAATCGAACTCACGTGTCGAAACGACAGGAAAAACGCTCTAAGACTTACCGGTTGTTGAAGTATCGCCGTTAATGCGGAGTACAGTCCATGACTCGTTGTATTGAGCTCGAGCTTCAGGCACAGCAGCCGCGCGACAGATGCTCACCGGACGCGTCGCGCGTGACCCGCTGCAGCACAGCGCGCAGGATGAGATCCCGCAGGCCTTGACATGTGTAACATATCGGTACTGAGAGAAACTAGTTTCTTATTATTTTAATGAATGTTAAATGTTGATAAAAGGACATTAAAATGAAAAACTTTGAAATATGAAATTGAATTTTAAGTCACTATTCTTGCATAAACATCAGCTTTGAACACAAAATACCAGAAACAACTAATAAGCCTATTGAATCGATTGTAATTTAACACGTCAACATATCCTTAAATTATCATCGGAAATAATAAATAATAGCTATTAATAATATAGATACGGACCGGGGCTAATTGTAACAAGAACTATATTATAGAAACTAGGTTGAGAATGTGTTTGAATTTTTTTTTTTTTTTTGCAATTTAAAAAACAAATGCAATAATGATATAACTCATTCCACATAATCTTAAATGACAGACGTCAAGTTGAACTCTATATTTATTTTCATAAATGTCAGAGGCAGGTCGTCACGTGTTTTAAATGTTAGAATTTTATCATTAAATTACATTTTTAATAAATGAGTAACACTTTCTTTTGGCCAAAACAAGTTTGATATTTACTATTTCACGAATAGGCTACTCGCAAATATTGCTTATATTATTATTATTAATATGTATTATTAATAATACATTGAAAAGCTACTAATTTGATCCGCAGTTAATGAATCCACTAAGTTTTCGTCGTCGAGTTTAAGTACGGAATACAGACGTTCTGAAAAAATGGCAATGACTGACAAAGTAATGCGATATGACCACCACAGTTATAAACATGGATTGAAATTATTTAACCAGTTTACCCCCTATTTAACCGTATACCAACCATTTAAAGTTGTTTTAAACCAAAATAATATCAAGTGGAAGTATCACCTGAACCATGTAGGGGCGGTGAGTTTTGTTTATGCTCACTGAAGAGGCCCTGTCCACACGAACGCAGTTATTTTTAAAACCGCAGCTTTTTCTACATGGTTTGGCCGTTCGTCCACATGCAAACACAGCATCAGACCACTGAAACCGAACATTTTTGAAAACGCCTGCCAGGGTGAAGATTTTCAAAAACTCTGGTTGCAGTTTTATCGTGTAGACAGCGAAACCGCAGTTTTTGGCTTGTGACGTCAGAGCATGCGCTGTTATCTCCGCCTACTGGAGACTTTTTCAGGCTTCTGATTGGCCAACATGGCTTTACGGTTCAGATTATAACGCCACCTGTTGGTTTGGCATGCTCTTGACAGTGATTCATAGCATGCGTTTGCGTTTTCATGTGGACGGAAATTTTTTTTTAAACGAAAGAAGGAAAAATACTGTTTATAAAAATACCCATGTAGGTGTGGACATGGCTAAGCTGTTGCTTTGAAACGCTCCCTCTTGAGCGTAGCCTACCTATGGATTTTCCATACGTGAAAACACTAGTTTTGTATTTTATTAAATTCTTTTACATTGGCTTGAGAAATGTGCACCTTTCCTAAATTGTCAAACTGTGTGTGTACTAAACGAAATAGAGCGCTTAGTAGAGGCGTGATTATTTAGTTACAGGTACAAGACACGTGCTAAATTTAGATGCCCAAGACTGCAAACAGGAAGTGCTCATGTATCTTTACAGTCCTTTTGTAAATTGAAACGAACCTGGGTTATCTTTGCTCTGAGGTTCCTTGTGAAATTGATATAAAAAGGGATATGTAATTTTGCTTAATTTGCTTGTCATTTGATTCTTCAGATTGTAACCAATTGTCTCCAATTTATATTTTATGTTCTGTTTTTATAATAATTGTTACAGCAAATCCCCTTTTAAAAGGACAGTACTGCAGAGATATGTAAAGTAAAATCATCATTTATCTTTATGAACAACTGTTTTGAATTACAGTGATAAAGTTTTCTTTTTTGGCACTTTATGTTTTACTCCTGCCTTTGCGCAGAGAGTAACAACTAATCAAAGGCATTCATAGAGCGCTGTTGGCCTCTGAAGCATTCAAGCTGGATTTGGCCAGCCCGTTCTCCCTCTGTTTTGGAAAGTGGAAATTCCTGAAGGCACTTCACTTCAGGTTTCTTGTGGGGATATAAACATGCATGCAGAGACTTTGGTGAACTCCGTCTTAGTTTCCTTGCTTCTAATTTTGCTCTCTGCCGTTCAAGGAAGTTTACAGCAGTCGCTAAGGTGAGTTTAGCTGTCTGGTTTTTCAATCAGTTTGACTTTTTCACTGTGCAGCCACGTTTTGCTGACAGACTGGATTTTAACAGACAGGGGAAAGTTTGCTGTTGTGTAGTCACAGCTACAAAACTAGTCCAAGGTTTGTAGATTTCTATCTTAAGCTTTTTGCTATTCTTTCTTTTTCCATTCTTTACAGCAATGGGAATGTGCCTGCAATGTTTTATTTGTTCTATTTAGTGCCCCTTTAAGCCAGTTTTTACCTCACATAACATACAGTATTTCCTTAAAATCAGAAACATATGCATATGCTTTTTGATCTCTTGTTATAGTTTTGGCTAAGGTCCACAGTTTTGACAAATTACTTAAGTGTTTTATACATAGCAGGTGCACATTCACCCTAATGTGTACCACAATGCATGTTTATGTATGCTCTCGCTGCATTGCACATAATCAGACATAGAGACTGAATCAGAGTGAATATGCTGTTGTGGCTGACAGACTTGTTCCATGTAAGTGCAACCATACCAAGCCCCTGAACAGTGTTTGCTTGAAAAAAAAAGTGTATTTTTATTACCCTGTAATGTGAGAAAGGCCAACTGCAGAGACGAGAAGCAGGAGTGGTATGTAAGAACGCTACCAAATGAAACATTTTTCACAGGGGAACTCGGGTGGGAAAATAATAAACAGTGGAATACAGTCCACCGTTTGTTTTCAGTAGGTTTGTAATGAAATTCTTGTTCTTGAGTTTGACAGCATTTTCTTTTTAGACACTTTACCAGTATACACTGCAATATACTCTTTGATTATATTATTGTCCTCAAATGTACAGAAACTTAAGATTATTTTTATTGCTTCCCAATTCAGATCTTCTAGCAGATGCAGTTGTATGGACAGTGTCTAGACACGAGTTTGCTGTTGTCTTTGGGACTGAGTACTAGCAGAATCATACCTTATGAGTCATGGCTCCATTTGAATTCCACATGACCTGTTTTATAGTGTTATTTTTCTAACAGGTCTTTTTGTTATCTTTAAATATTAGCTCAAAAGCGTACAAGGAGATATATACAGGAAATCTGCCAAAATTGTATCCATTGCATGGCCCATCCTTAGAAACCAAACTAAATTTTTCCTTCAGAAAGCAAGAGGGAGTCTGGTTGTCATTACTGGTGAAAGGAAGGATTGCAAACCACCACCCACCCATCCACCATCTGGCATATGTTCACCTACAGGGGAAGAACAGAGGTTTGATGTGGAAGGCAAAGGTCACAGGGTGAATGAACACTTGTGTCTTGCAGGCAGGTGGGTGGAGAGTGTAAGATCTCCCCTGAATCATCACTGAGGCGCTGTCGGACCCCCGACGGTTTGATCTGTAGTGGGAGAGGTGAGTGTGAGTGCGGGATTTGCATATGCCAAGTCACGGAACCCGGAACGTTCTATGGACCGCGTTGTGAGTGCCATGACTGGATCTGTCCGACATATGATGGGAAGACCTGTGGAGGTAAGAGCTGTCTCACACTCTCCCAACATAGCATTCCCACTTAGTCCTTCACTTACTTGTGAAAGTCATGATTCAATATCAAGTGTCTTCTGAAGAAAAAAAAAAGGTTTTGTAGACGTGTGCAAGACACACATTCAGCTTCAGTAAAGGCCTTTGATGTTCCATCCAATATTGTGTCATTAGCTACATGGTCTCATTTGAATTTCACAGTGCTTCTATTCAGCCAAACACAGCCAGTTTCAAAGGAGCCTGTTTGGATGCCATGTTCTGTAGCAACCCTCTTTTTTAAAAGATTTTGCAGACACTGCTTCAAAGGATAATTTTCACCGATACTTCCTTTACTGTGTTGAATGTAATTTCAGTAGTTTCCACTGGATGGTGAGTGTGTGCAAAATTTGCTGCGAGTCCACAAAATTATTAGCAGAGACTCCTGAACAGGGTTGGGGAGTAACGGAATACATGTAACGGCGTTACGTAATCAGGATACGAAAATCTAGTAACTGTAATCCGTTACAGTTACATCAAAAAACAAAGTATTCAGATTACAGTTAAATGTTGTAAAAAGTGGGAATACTATCAGGATTACATTTGTTTAATTTAAAATTAAATAAATGAGTATTTTGACATAACGCTATATATTTAGCGCTGCGTCATCATAGTTCCTGGTAGAGCCCTGCACGGGCCTCAAATATAGGCCTTAGCCCGGCCCGTGTCCGACAGCTTATCAGAATTACTGGCCCGAGCCCGTCTTTTTTCCCCCTTCTCCCAAAACAGCTACTGTTTCAGCTATTAAAATAGTTAAGTTTTGTATGTAATGGCAAAGTGATTATATTTCGTTTAGTTTTTTTATTAAGTTAATTTAGAAAAACGTTTGGAGCATTCTTTTGTTCGTTACAAGTTTTTGGTTTTTAAAGTAACGACCAAGCGGCCAGCGGCAGACAGTGAGCCTATATGTTTGATCAATTTAGCCTTCTCAAATCATCACGACTTGCCTAAAATAAAATCTATAGATATAAAACAGTTCAAGCATATTTAAACATTAAATCTAGACAAATGTGTGCTGTATCCAATCGTTTGTGCGGAGAGTGCAAGCTAAAATGCTTTGCAGGACACGGAGGCGCCAGCGCAATCACTTGCATTTTCTTTTTCAATGGATACGCCGTCATTTTTGCTCATAAAGGTAAGAGTAGCCTAATACATCATTCGGAACTGTAAAGGGTCTACTTTTATTTGTGTGCACTCACAATATCAACAAAGCGCTGTGCTTTTATAAAATAAAGAATATAAACATGA